ACACACACACACACACCCCATGGTAAAGAGAGGCTTCCAGGAACTCAGTGGCAGGATGGACGGAGTGAGAGTGGAGGAAAAGGGAGAGATGGTTGGAGTGAGGGAAACTGAGGGGGTGTACTATAGACTGCTGGAGGATTACAGTTATGTAGCCTCTTAATGCTGTCTGCATAATCAAGTGGCTGAGAGAGCCAGCGACTGAGTGAGAGAGGAAGAAAAGTTGTGAGAGAACAAAAAGCCCTCCAGTGGTGCTGTTGCTAATTCTGTACCGTACTGCTTCTGGATAGCTGGCCATCATTTTAGACATCTTATAGACTTAACAACTAATCATTTAGCTAACAGTTATTTTCAGTCCTACACTGGCTCCATACTTGAACATTTTTTCTACTGCTGTGCATTGCCATTTAGCACTGTTTTTGCAGTCTTGTTTTCATTGTTTTTCTGTCCTACTGCATGTTAACAGTTGCAGTTTAGCAGAGATTAAGCTGAAAACCAAATGAAGCAAAAAGCAGCAGATGATATTAAGCTTTACAGGGGCTGGTCATAGTTTTACTCAGTGCTGTGAAGGAGACAGGACTGAACAGAGGAACAACAGAGCGAAGCAGCTTTGAGTTTGGAAGCTCATTAACAGATTCCTGCGTGAATGAGGAGAATAGAGCAATTAATCACAGGACTGTAGAGAGAGAAGGACTCAGTCCAGGAACAGGAGAGAATGAAGACTGCTGTAGTAAACAGATGAACCACAAACATTGCTAAATAAATGCTTTATACTGTCTCAATGAAGCAGTCTAGGAGACCTAGAAGGTTCTGACGTATTAAAATTGAGCTGTTAAGGCTGTGAACCAGGAGATTACATCAAGTTTTGGGGTGATTTTTATTTTGATGAGCTTATTAAATAATTAGATTATAGCCATCGTAACCAGTGTAGATTGATCTCTCTGGTAAACGCTGCTAATCTGTAAACTTAAATTGATTGTTGTTTACATGCCCATATTTATTTTTGCAAAATTGTGCAACAGCGTGTGTACATATATGCATACAGTCATTGTCAAGCCATTCAAGAGTGTTAGCCATTTGTTTCAGTGTTGAGCCCAATCCAGGTGGAAGACAACATTCAGTATTCATTTTGATTCCCTGTGTGTCTCAGTGGGTCCCAGTGACGATGAGGACCAGCAGGAAAAGACCTTGTCACAGGTCTACGATCGCCTTCCTGAGGGACGCTCACCCCTGGACATCCTGAAAAAGAAAGATGAACGTGAACGCATCGGTAAGCACATAGGCTGAGCACAGCAGAAGACAGTAGAGTGAGAGAATAACACCAGACCTGACTGTCCCTCTTCTTCTCCTCTATCTGCTTCTCCTCATCTGTCTTCCCCGCGCCCCCACAGGTAAAGCACACATCCGCCGGGCCATCCTGGGTCATGAAGAGGCTCTGAGGATCTATAGTCTATGCCACCACTTGAACAAGCTGGAGGTCCTGCAGGACATTTTAAAAGCCAGTCACCAGCGCTCCCTCAACAAGTACAGTGAGAATGAAAACGAGGAAGAGTTCGCTGACTACACGGAGGCCCCAGACATCATCTGTGAGTCTTAAGAGAAGATAACACCTCAACCAATGAAAATATCCTGTTCTAGTAAACATGAGAAGCGAAGATAAGATTAGAATAATTGTAGAGTTTATTTGAGTCTCCACTGAGGCAACAGCTATTCTTCCCGCGGCTGACATAGAAACGAAGCAGTCACCTTAGTGTCACCACAACAAACACTTCAGAAACGACACTAATGTCAGGCAGGACCAGTGTGTTGCTTTGTGAGCTCCGTCTCTTAGGAAACGGTTCGTAAAAAGGCCACTGTGTTGTGTACCACACCTGCTGCAATCAGACGTGATAAGTGACATTTATTTCCAGGTACAGATGATGTAATGTTTACACTGCTAACTCCCTGCCCGCCTCTCCACAGGACGACAGTTGAAATGTGGTTGTGACCGTAAACACTGTAATGACAGCTTTTGTTTTTTTTCTCTCTCTCTCTCTCCTTAGCTAAAACAGAGCACAAAGCAGAGATGGAGTTTCCTGCAACCACAAAGGTGAAAGTCACGGACTTCTTCCAAAGGCTGGTATGTGGGTTACTAATATTCTTCCACTCACATTACTTTGTTTTTTCATACATGGTGGTTGGTTTATTCATCAAGTGACATGAAATGGCTCTGGATTTGTGTTTTAGACCTTGGAAGTGCACTTGTACCCAGAGTTTATTTTTATTTATTTCTGAATACAACCAACCAAGGGTGAGTCTCCTGGAAGCTTTGGCACATTTGAACAGAAGTCCTTGTTTCCAAAGCCTCCTGGACTTTCATCCTAAGCAACGAAGGCTAAACTAACACTAACCATGGACTGGGGTACTCTGACCCTGGCTTTATTGTCATAGAGTGGTGGCTGGGAGGGGGACCTGGCATCCTCTGTCACTGGAACTGGAATCTTCTGTTCACGTCATTTTTTTCATCTAGCACAATTCACAATTCCTATAACAAATAAACAGGCTTCGGTTTTAAGCCGGACAGCCTTACAAGCTAATAACCGGAGAGGAGGTCAAGGGTCAGACCTGACGTTCCCAGGCAACAGGTGTAAGGGGTCTCTGTGAATAAGTACCTCTCTGGTTCCTGTTGTAAAATCCCACCTAGCTCTTCATTAACAGTCTCAGGGAACAATACTCAAATCTGTTTGGATCCACAGAGAAATGAGAGACTGAAAAGTTTAATCCAGCACAATCTCTTCATACAATCTCTACGGTAATAATTAAAGCGGCAGGGGTGACCGGCATCAGCTTGGTTTTACATAGGATGGAATGTCTGGATTTTGTGGAGGAGAAATTTTCCCATCAGCTAAGAAGCGCATTAATGGGAGATAGCAGTTGGCTTCAGCAGTCTGAAATGGAGGACATCTTTGTGATCAATTCTGGCTAATGTCGAAATGATTAATTGGTTAGTCGATCTGTTCAGGGGAAAATAAATGTATCTTTTTGATTGATAAATCTTTGTTTTTTTGTGAAAAATACCTTTTTAAATGAAGGTTACAGCTTGCTAAGGATTAAATTATTTATTTAAGACACTTCACATAAGTTTAAGTACATAATTGAACTAATATTTTACTGTATTTGTGACAGTTTGACAGACAAAATAAGCAGACATGACTTTTGAGTATTTACATTTCATATACTAAAATATTATTTTAGTAATTAGAATTAATTGAAATTGATTGAATTCATTTGAAGTAACAGTTGTGTTGTGCAGCTAGCACTACACAGTATGGTGGATACTGTATATCTGCAATCCAACCATCAGGTAGACATAAGTAATGTGTTCAGTATGTTGAGAATGTTTTTCGTATGAATTGCTTTGTTTAGAAGGTACACTAAGGATTGTGACTGACATAGAGTGCAAATATGGAAAAAACATACTCATGTCAGAAAGAGAGATTGATCATGTAAATACAGCGTGCATCGTGCTCACATAACTTTCATGTGTGTGTGTATACAGTGTATGCACAGATAACAGATCACAGATGTGGACTTTGACCATGTTTAGCCTGTGAGGACACAATAAGTGATTATTATTCTGGATTTTCAGTTTTCCCCCAGGCTTTCACCAAAGCCTTTGAACCCTGAAACTATTAAAGGACGAGAGGATATTATCCTCTTGAGTAAGTAAAACTTGGAGCCATATTAACCCCGGCATCCCTGCAATGTCTCCACTCAGGGCCCTCTGTCAGTCTTCTCTGCCAAGCAGCGGTGGACGGCCCCGCGGACAATACAACTTCGACCAGAAGACAGAGACCTGGGCTTCACCCTGAAAGGAGAAACACCAGTCCAGGTGGTTTCGTTGGACCCCCTCTGCCAAGCTGCTGTGAGTTAAACCTATATTCCTTACCTGTGGCTGAACAAGGGGAGATTTATCTCCTATTTTGCAGCCAGCCTTTGGTCAGCAGAGACTTGACATGATCTTGAGATAGGTAATCCATCACAGCAAACCTCATCCTTTATTTTTAATGCATTTTGTAGTCAATGGAATACAACATGCAAATCCACCTGTATCATTCTTGTAGAATGCTTTGTGTAACTAGATGCATCTGTATTTTCACACCGAGGGATTTCATCATCTGCAGACGGCTGGAGAAAAAAATAAATAAATTAAAATTAAAAGAAATTGTATTTTTAGAGCACAGAAAATATTTCCATATTCAGTACTTTCTTCTGTCAAACTTAAACAAAAGCCAGATGCAGAGGTTGCTCAATATTAACTTCTTGCCCCAGGATTAACTAGCAGGGAGTGGCTTTGTGTACAGTGTAAGTGCTTGAAATTTCAGGCTTGCTTGCATACTGAATATAAACTAAGTTCAAATTAAAGTCATTAAAGTCATTCTCAGGAACCTAAACAGGATTCAGGCTCAAAGAATGTTTGGAGGACACTCACCCCCACCACCACCCTCCTCCACAGCCACTCTGGCTACTAATTTAATTAAGAATCAGAGAGTATTTACTCTCTGCAATCCTTTTCAGTCTGACAGCTCATTAAGAGGTGCTGACAAAGAGCAGACTCTTATTAGGCCCTGCAGGCTATGCAGAGAAAGAGATTAGTAGTATTACACAAGTCTAACTAGGCCAAACTTTTTATAACTTTTAATACTGCATTCAACAGGATTTATTCTGCAACTGACTGATTCTCCCGAGTTGCTGGCCTGCTTCTGGCGAACACAGATCAAGTTATCAGACAGAAATAGCTGAGCACATGTAGATAAGACAGAAATCCCACAGCTATGAAACAATGTGCTCTGTAAAAAGCTTTGTTTGGGACTAAACCTCAGTGTTTTCTCTGCTGATCTCAGCTGCCTCCAGGGTGTTGAGGGAAAGTAGGTGAACCTGTTTCAAGCAAAACACTGAGCTGTACATTTTTACTCAGTCTGCACTATCAGGAGATCTCAGTGGCCCTCCTCTCTAACTCCTGTTTTCCCTTCAGGCTGACGGTCTGAAAGAGGGTGACTACATTGTCGCCGTGAGCGACACAGACTGCAAGTGGATGGGCGTGAGTGAGGTGATGCGATTGCTGAAGGATGTGAACGAGGAGGGGATTGACATCCAGGTGGTGAGCATGATGGACAGCAACCCTCCAATGGTATGCCATACCCTCTTTCCCCTTTCTATGGAGCGAGAGAAAAGTCATCTAACTGGTTTTCTTGATTGACAAATAGTCACAGCAAAATTGGTCTTTGTATCAGATGACTTAACAGCATAGTTTCAGATTCCTCCATTTGAGGTAGTGTTTCCTGCCATGGTAAATTGTCCATGCAGTTTCCCATGAGAAATAGCACTTGGATATGGCCATGTAGTGTAAAAGACATTGATTTATTAAATTCTACAGGGTTTTAAGGAGTTGGCATTATGTTGTATATTCATATTTTGTCCAATCCCTGCACATTTCATATGAGGAGCAATTGCTTCACAGTACTCTGTTTTTGATTCTGGGTATTTCTGGACTTCTGTGTTAAAACAGTGAGAAAATGACTAACTTAAATGCAAAGTTATTGACCCCACAAAGTGTTTGAGACTATATGGCCTCCAGGGCAACGTTTTGATTCAACAAGCAATGACTGCTTCTTTCCACTAAATGTCATTGTCAATCTCTCTACTCCAGCCTACCAAGAGTGCCACCTTCTGCGGAAACCTGCCCAAGACATACTCCATGATTTGTCTGGCCTTTGATGACGATGACAAGAACCCCAAGTCTCGCAAAGTAACCAAGAAGTCGTCCTTCATCAGCTGGGGTCTGAAGAACAAGCTGAAGAGCGCCAGCACCCTCAGCCTTCCCACAGCTGACCACTCTGGCACCCTTCCCTGGAACAAACCCTGTCCCACCTTCCCCAGCTCCAGCTCCTACAACAACGACAGTGCCCTCTACTGAGCTAGCCGCAGACTTTCTGCTGTCTGCAAGCAGTGTGCAGACCACATACTAAGCCTAGTGTGGCTGCATACAGTACTGTGTTGTACCCATACTGGACCTGCTTTGGATATGGTACAGTACCAGTGCCCTTTGGTGTTTCCACTGGAATACTGAGCAGTAGTGTATGTAGCTGTATGTCACCAGTGTAATGATGACATATCTGCCAGCTACCTTGGAAAGTGGCTGTGCCAAATACTGTATATAGGTGCCTTTGTTGGTACATGGGCGCCTTACCCAGCACAGTTCAGTATCTGAAGTGAACTGGACTGCACACCAAACATAATGAGAAATCATTCTGTACCATGCCAGTATGTGTACAGCACAGTACAACTGCACTGTGGGAAAAAAAACATGCCAGTTATCATTCCAGTCTATATATATAAACACAGCATTGAGACTAAGTTAAACTGTCATCTCAGTATGTTTTCCTGAAGAAATGCTCCGGACGAATTGAAAGACAAAAACAAAGTTGTACAAACACACCCAGTGTCGGTTACTACTTGACTGCAAGGGCATAATTTTATTGTGGCTTAAGCGGCCCCTTGTTAGCTCCATTGTGTACTGATGTAGCTGTGCACTGTGCAGTTATGATCTCTGTATCCACCCTGTCTGTTTCATACTGTATATGTGAAGGATTCGGTCATTGCTACGATATTTGTTGCAATCAGCTTTGGGTTTTGAATTACATATATTTTCTAAATACATATGTAGATGTTCTGAACCTTGTTGCAGTATGTTTAACAGTGATTAAGGGAAAACAAATTGTGCTGTGCAGTTGTTGTTTTTTTTTGCCTGGGGAGAGTTAATGAATGCAATGTTCTATAAGCTGCTAAAAAAATCATATATATATATATATACCTTGTTTATGTATTATTGTCACTTTTGTATTTGTGAGACAGCCTTTGAGGATTATTGTTTCTGCTGAGTGTCATGCCCTGGACCCAGTGTAAATGGAAATATTGGTATTTTAGGTTTGCTTACTCTACCAGTTACGCCACAGACCAAAATGCCTCTGTGTCCCTGATATGCCAGGTTGTACCATTTACAGTCCTGACTCATTTTACCCTGTTGTTTCATCAGTGCTGCTGCAGCCTGGCAGTGTGTTTATTTGTCAGAAGAGCACGAGCTGTGTGTCTCTCTGTTAATGTGAATCTTGATGTAGTTAAAGGTTATTTTGTCTCCAGAAGGGAAGAATGTGGGCAGACCAATGACATTCCTTGAATCGTACCTGGACAGCCGGTCACCCAAAAGTGACTCCGATCAAAGTCCACAGTCAGGTTTCTACTCTTTGTCTCCACTTGTCTTAATCCTAGTTACACCCCACTGACACTTTGCAGTGTTGGACTATCTCTTTATCTACAAAGTAGATTCCTATACACGTTTGATAATAAAATTATTTATGTAATAAAAAAAAAACACATAAAAATATATATATATTTACCTGTAAAATTGTAGGTTTCGGAACTAGTTTGTGAATGGTCAAGTTGTGAATTTTTGCACGTTGGATTTCTGGAGGAATGTATTTTACTAGCCTTGCTTAATCCTTTGGAGAACTTTATATACTGGTACACTTTGTCTATGTAAAGATATTTTTAAATGTTTTTAAACAGTCACACTAAGAAGATGTAACACTCTTTACTGTCTCTGTTTACCTAATACGGTGTCGTCAGTGCCATTTATGCTAAATCATGAAGGAAAATGTCACAATACGTGTGTTGACAAGAATGTGCAGTAATTGATTAATATTAATACGTGCTAACTAATTGTGCTAACAGATGCATGTATACCTACACAGATGATGTTGTAGACTTAACAGATGCATTTCACAGTGCTTAGTGATCCTAAATGCCTTGGTGTATATGCAGAGGGTTATGGTACCTGTTCTTCTAGAGGTTTCAGGTTGCCTTTGCTTCTTTTCTCTGTACTTTGGGCTGCATAGCAACTGTGGTATGAATGCTTTGTTGGTAAGTCTTTGTGTCGTATGTATAAAGTCAAATCTCAATAAAAGATGGGAACAAAACACATTTCCTGGATTTTGTTGAATATGTATTTGTGGTTCTGAGTATGTCAGTGGTTGAAACTACCAAGCAGGTTGGGAATGACTGGAATGAAGTTTGACCACAGCCCTCCGTGAGCCAACACACACTAAGTCAACACTGTTTTAACTGTTGTGAGTCTGGCCTGGGACCCCGTGACATCCTAATCTGCCATCATGGAAACAGAAGAGAAACACCATGTGCTTAAGTCTTACCTATCAGGCCTTTCTTCTTCCATACCATCCACAGTATGTGTGTTTTTATACCAGATAGTGTGTGTGTTATGTGTTTAAAGGCATTTTACCTAAATGAGAGAGCTAAATGTTGATTCTCGTGGCTTTGAACTTTGAAAAATGAATCCCCCAAAAGTCAAATTCTCTTCAGGATATTGATTTATTTTAACAGGGAAAGTGAATATTGCAACAACCAAATATGTTGACGTTTGGTCATAGTATTCATACTTCTAACATTCCTTGGGGCGAAGGGCAGCACTTGATAAAACTCACACTGAAATATTCTGAGGATTAACAGCCAAAAGAGGACTGAAAATATGCATGTTTTTTGCAGTAGTATATTAGTACAGTCAGCCTGCACGGGACAGATGTGTATAGAAACTACATAAATGGATGACGTGTTTTCCCCATCTGTTCCTGCTCAGAAAATCCACATTTTATGAATCAGCTGTAATAAATATTTTATTAATCAGCTGTAATAAATATGGGGATATGTTTGAAAGTTTGAAACATAGTGCCAACATCTTTATTTTAGTCAGTATGCCAAGTTTTGCTCCAATAGACAACCAAATCCAAATGGACTGGGAGGAAGATGTGTGTATATGTTAAAAGTAATTACTAAAATGGGATTTGTGGGTACACAATAAGCATATATACATGTATGACATTAAACTGAATATGACTTGTATGCTGTATAGTGTGTGCATGATACATGATTGAAGTTAGTTCCTTTAATGAGAAAGGAAGAAAGAAAATCATGGAACATCATCGCCCCCTGCTGTCCGGGCCGCTGGTTGTTAAGGCCGTCGTTGCTAGGTAAATCATATAAGTCGCTGATTGGCTTCTCGCCTCACTTTTAGCCAATCAGCACTAGTTTTGTAGCGAGGTTCCTTCTTGTGGTGAAGCGTCTAGATACGAGGAGTCTGCAAGCACAGCAGCCAGCCTGTTGAACAGTTAGCTCGCTCATTTTGCTTTATGGTTTTAGGGTAAAAGAGGACAGATACGTTGAAACATGTGACACTGACTAGTAAACTCTTGTAACGCTAACTGACCGAAGGAGTGCTCGGTAAACGAGTCGTTGTTCAGCGCAAACTGAAACAATAACTCCAGCTAGTGAAACAAGGGTCAAAAGCCCAGTTTAATTCCCACTATGTTAAAATTCAGCTTCAGGAGGGAGAAAGACAAGGAGTTTGTAAGTGTGCCGTCTTTCATACAGGCTATGTCTAGCTATCTTAACGTCTGAATTATGTTTTCATTTAGCTAACGTTAACCTTGTTTCCACTGAAGTTACTTAAAGTAAGCATAAGCTGAATATGTTCACATCTATTTAAGGTAACGTTTGATTACAGCAGTTTCGTAATGTTAATACGCCGTGTGATGCATGGTATTAATGTTGTTGACCAAAATTAAACTAACACTGTGGTTTCCAGAAGAAAAGGTCTGCTGCTGTAACACGCTGTTTTGTGTCTCGTTGTGATTCATCATCCTTTTCCTTTCCCTTTCCCTTCCACTTATATAGCCTCTGTCTTTCCACAAACCCTTCCCTTAAACAGTTACTTCATGTACTAACTGAACCCTCCTCAACAACTGTCATAGGAGCAGCACTGTGAGTGTTAAAGTCTGTGTGATACTAACCTTCTCCCTAACCTCCCTCTGTGTGTGTGTGTGTGTGTGTGTGTGTGTGTCTGTGTGTGTGTGTCTGTCTGTCTGTGTGTCTGTGTTGTGCTGTGTGTAGAAGCACATAGTTCACGGTTTGATCCCTGCTGCCTCCATTGCTCCAAAGCCAGCTGTGCCTCGTACCCCGCCCCCACGCAGCCCAGACCCCTCACCTGAGAGACCCAGGTACCCAACACCCTCCATCCACTCCAACATCCTTGTATTGTGCTGTGTTTCCCCTGACACTGTTTCCTGTTAAACCCCAGTTTTGTAACATTTGGACTGTACCTGTTTGAGTTTCAATGGAATTGAGCTTCATATTCATATTTGAATACATTCCCATCATTATTTGCAATAGTAAAACGTTTAGCGTAGCTTATTTTTCCCTCTTTAGCCCCCACAATGCAGTGTTTCAGTGGTAAATCCTAACCCACCTGCTCATGTTGCTTTTACCCCGGTGTACCAACAGCCTATACATGACTTCATGCTGTCTTCAGACAACTACTTATCATTGAAATGTGGTAGAACAGTTTAATTCTGGACTCATCACTCCCACTGTTTGTTGCCATTATTGATTCATTCCTCACTAATCCTCATCATTTCACCACAAACTTCATTGATATAGTAGGCTTTCATTATTTTTTCTTTTTGTTTGCTCAACACACTGTATCTGATTTGTAGGGTTATTGTTTTGCTCTAGAAAGATTAGATGGAGGCGAAGTATTCCACATGGTGGATGTAAAACAATGCTATCAAACTCATTTACAGAAACTGAGGGAGGTGCTCCCTTTTGTAACAATGTGTTAATATCAAACATAGGACATAAACTGTCTGCCTCTTCTCACATGAACTGCATCTTTACATCTACAGATCAGCCTTAGCAGCAGCCATTTTGTCTTCTTCGCTCACTGGACAGACATGGGCCATTCCCCCCGCCCGGCTGAGGTCTTTCTCTGAGAGTGGCCGATCAGAGTCCTTTATATCTGAACCAAACATCAGCACAGCACTTTACACCAGGTAAACCCCCTTCAGGCAAATACACAAGTATTATCACAAGCTTTGTGACAAATTATTCAAACTGCAACAAGTGACTCCCAGTTTAAACCCGACCAGGGTGAATGGCCTACTTTTGGTCCTACTTTTAGGAATAACAGTGATTTTTTGGTGATTTCTTTATGTACTAACGCACCAAGGCAAATTCCTTGTATGTGTAAAAATTTACGTGGCAATAAACCTGATTCTGATTCTGATTGTGATTCTGAAAAGTATTTTTTGAGCTCTCTTAAAGTAGGATCTCCACCAATAGATGTGTGTGCTACGATGTGGGATAAGCATCTTGACTTTTATCTTTCTCTTAATATATTTAAAATATAGGCCTGAGTTTTCCCCTGGTTTCAGTAATCCTTCTGTTCAGACACTATCTATCTCTAACGTTTTTTGCCTTTGCCTTTTTTCATAGAAGACGTTTTGACTCTCACAGTAGCTAAAATAAATGACGGCTGAATTCCATTTAGCTGTTTTGGTTTGAGGCTCCTGCTATTGTACATGTTAGCTCACTGTCACAATGTCAGGGCTTACTGGGACACTTGAATGGAACCGAGCCATTGTCAATGTTATTAATAACACTTTCCTACTATGACAAGTCAAAATGTCTGCTGTGAAAAAGGGCTGTAAGATCCAGCTAACTCTTCTCCACTGTTACTTTGACATATTACTTTCTTATCTTCCTCAGAGACAGATGGTCAGAGGATTTAGCTAGCCGGCCACGGCTGTCCTCCCCTGAGCACTCAGAGGAGGAGTCGGAAGACAGGGAAGAGGAGGTGGAGAATGAAGAGGACGGGGAAGAACATGTTTACCAAAGTCTGGACAGACGGGAGAATTGTTCAATCACAGAACCTGTCTATGCCCTGCCACTGAAACCTAAGGTGAGAGCCTACGGGAAAGATCTCATTGTTATGTGTGAGCAAGTGTCTGACTGGAGTGTTAGCGGTTTTAATCCCAGTGTTGTCTTTCAAAGCAAATGAGAAACCTTCCTGCCAAAAATAACTTGCTTTCAAGGAGATTTTTAGCAAACTAGTTAACCTCCAACTGGTGTTGCATAGTGGCCAGCAGAGGACTAAAGTGAGCCAGTTCCAGGGACTGTAAGTACACTGGAAAGGCCTACTGAGATATCAGTAATACCTCTGCTTTTCCTGCTATGACAAGTCAGAATATATGCTTTGAAAAAAAAAAAAAAAGAAGGTATGTTTTCAATGTGTGTGTCGTGGAAAGATCACTTTTGTGTTTTAATACCAGTCTGATCCACTGGGAGGCGCAATTGTACACAGAAAAAAGTTAATGTTTATCTGTTGAGTCTTGTACTGTAGAGAAGTGATCTTTATCATTACTGACTGGGATATAGAAAAATATCCCAATCCCAATAGACCGCTCTCACAGACTCTTGGGACATTGCTCTATTCGTGTTCTTGTCCTGTATACTGCTACCTTGGGTTGCTAAACAATAATTGTCCCTATGGACTCTATTTCCCCCTGTCAGTTGTCTTTCCAGGCTATCACAGAGCCTCGCTGCCTGGGGCTTTATCCACAACAACCACCAGTTTGCTGGAACATTTTTAGCAACACATGAAGCATGATGTTTCTATTCCTTGTACCATAATCTAAGGCGAGCATCCAGTATAGTAGCAGTTGTAGTGGATCCCTACCCCCACACAAATGTAATCCATAAGAAACGTCAGGCTGTACCCTCACAAATCCACAGGGGCCACTGTACAGTGCTTGTTTACAAATAACTTCAGTTTTAGATAGGTATAACTAACAAGCTGTGTGCACAACAATCTTGTGTGCAATCAATCAATCCTTTAGCCGTTAGATTTATATCATTTGTTACAGAGCAATTGGCATTCTTCAGTCTTTGCGTTCATTTTGTTATTTTTTTGCTTCTTTCTTGGTTATGTATTACAAATGGCGTCTCTTCCCTACACTGAATGCTACTGTGACTCATTGACGTTGCTTTAACGTGTCTCTGAAGATCAGGAACAATAAACGCTCGGACAAGATCTTATTGTCCACATTTTGACAATGGCCATAAACAAGGTAGTCTCTGAAATAGCCTTGCATAAAAAAGATCCCGGCAGTGGGGCTTTGGAAATCTTTTTGAAAAAACATACTCATTATCTGTCTGACTGACTGTCTGTTTGTTTTGCTTGTCTGTCTGTCTGTCTTCCAGACCAGTGCATCCCAGTCAAATCAGATATCTGGCAGAAGAGTGCCTTCTCCAGGTACTGACCAACTCTAACTCATAATCTGTCAGAAATGGCAAAATCACCCCACCTATAAATATGACAAAATGCTGAGTATAGTGCAGTTCAGCAATATATAATAAATCTACCTTAAATTGCTGTTTATTTAAGAGTTAACCCACTATTGTACAGCCAAATAAATCCACTTCGGTTGTCAATACCTAAGTACATACTATCAATTTCCACTGAAGCTTGGAAGAGATAAAAAAATATTACTCACGGGACTAGATTTTCTTTTATACATTTGACGTATTAACTGGTCATACTGAGTGAGTGAGGTTCTATCTATGTTGTTCTTTTTAGCCCTAAACATTTGCATACTTATAAACATATTTATTCATATTTCATTTTATGTCACTAGTCTCTATCAAACATATTGTATTTTCTAAATCCTTAGAGTCCATTCAGTTCACATATTACATTTACACTAAAAGCAGTTATCATTTATTACTTTTGTTATCTGATACTTCTGCTGTTTGTAACTATTGATGTGAGTGGGAGGTGGTAACTTCAATATTGCCGTGTCAGAAAATATTTTTTAGCAGCCGCCAGTACTGTGTAGAATAGTTGGAATTTTTATTATTATTAATTTGTTAATTGACAGAATAAACTGCAAATGTGCTATGAACATCTTTTGAACAACATGCAGCCAAACAAATTCTGTTGGTGGTGATGGTGTCTGGTAGGTGTACTTTCAAAGTAGAGACTCGATTGATTTGAAATTCAGAAAAACAAAGCTTTTAGTAATATTAAAATTTCCATGTACGCCTCAATTAACATCGACCAAAGTACACATTTCTACTTAGGGAGTGAGTAATATAAAGAGAGACATGGAAATTGATTTCAGAATTTTCTCCCTTACAAAGAAAAATGAAAGAATGATGAGGGACTCAGCTGCACCACATTTCAGCCTTTAGCAAAGGAAGAAGATACAGCCCTTATTCCATCACTGTTTCATAACAGCCATAATGTAGCCTTACATCATTAGAGCTAAATGGAAAGCCTCATTATAGTTGTTATTACCAGAGCTGGCCTCAGGCTTTTGCCGATGCTAAATTAAAATGTTTTATGTGTCCCTAAAATGCTTCTACCTTAATCACTAAATTATACAGGCAAGCTGTGTTGTAAAGTAACTCATTCAAGATATGGAGAAAGTCACTTTTTCAAAACAATATGTAGTTCATGGTAAACTCGGATTGCATAATTAAGCACACAGAACCCAGTGCTACTTCTGTGTATTAATTCAGTGATGCAGTGATTTTTGCTATCTCTCAGATTTCTCTGAGGAAACCAGTGTCCAGTCTCCTGAAGCCAGCTGTGAGTCTTCCAAGAAGAAAGCCTCTACCAGGAAGAGACCTGGAAGTCGTAAAGAAGTTGTGCCTTGTAGATGTAAGTCCTACATTAGACTGGTCATTTTGATTTATATTTTTTCTTCTACTGAATACTTGATAAATAATTACTGGATCTGTGTAGTTCCCCTCTCTGTGTCTTGAACCTAAAGGAGGCAATCCATGCAAACCATGCTTCTCTCTACCTCGTCCTGTAATCCTTCCTATACAGACAGCTGCAGTCCTCACCACTATAGTCCACTCACTATAGCTACAGTTGAACTGTATACTCACCTTTGTGTTGTGTTTGCTTTACCCTTTGTCATGTTTTTACCCAGCGCTGCCGCTACGTACACAGGCGCCACCAAAACAGCCCAATGATTATTAATCATATTAATTATAATACTATGTACACGTTTTGCTGTCATTTATGGTCACACACACTTGCTTCTGTTTCTCCCAGGGCTCAGCTCCATGCACACATATAGACACACACACAGAAAATATACAGTACAGCAGAGAGGCTATGGTGCAGACACTGAACCAAAGTGAAGATAAACAAAGTAGAAAAGTGGTATTTCCACCTGCTTTGTCTGCAGTTGTTGTTACAACCACAGTGTGCATTTTAATCTAATAGTAAGTTAGGAATGAACCAGATGGAAAGCTGTTGTGATGAACTCTGTATTAGTTTTACCACAAATCTGAGAGGACAGGAGGAAGGACTGATATGGTTTGTGTGTTTGATGTCAGAAATATTATTTATTTGTTTGTTTGACATTATTTTACTGTTTCCATTAAGATATTATTGAGTTTAGATAGTGACTTTGCTGTGTAAACTATACTGTTCTATACTGTTGCTGCTCTAGAAACAATATTTAGATACAATATATAACACTGCGCCCTGTCTACACCTATCTTTGTGCCAAACTAAGGTATACATACACATATATCTAGTAAGCAAGATATATTCAGTTTTATTGACTGTATTAGCAAGCATATATTATTTTAGAACATCTGCATAGCATGTTGTTTAAGTTTAAAGCCTCAAATGAGAAGGGCTTCAGCAGCATTTCAGGTGAAATAGAACAGGCTCTTTAAAATGCAAGTAGTTGTTAGATGTTTTTTCTAGGGTGTTCTTCATGCCTCTGAGCTCAGATTTCTCACCTCAATGAGAACTGGTAGCAGTTAAAGACAATAGCAAAAGGCTACCTATTGGCTAGGCACTATTAAACAGTAGATTGAGCATGCTGTATCTCTAATCTCATTCCTTATTCGTTTCTTCCTACCACTCCGTTGTGTTTGTTGTGTTGTTGTGTTGTTGGTTGTGTTCCTTTTTGGGTCTCTGCATTTGTGTCTATATTATCTGTCTTACTGTGTCAAAAAGCATCTGATACCATACTGCATCACACCATACCATCTTATACCCTTTGTTGTTTTGCTTAACAGTGTATTTTAATACAGTTGTTATTCCAAGTAACAGTTAAGTTCAATCATTACTGCTTCACACACACATTTCTTGGTTGATGTAAGGACCATATGAGATATTTGCTTATTTATTGTCTTTAAGTATTGTGTATCGAGTCCACATTCATTTTAGAAATACTTTACAATTCCCCTCTTTATTCTATTTAGAATATGTCCGTTTACTGCCATTAAAAGTATTAACTTCCCTCTTTCAGCCACGCTGCCCATCCTAACCACCGACCACGCCAGCCAATCCAGCAAAGCCAAAAACCCAAAACACTCCACCCAGCCGTCTCCAGAGCCCAGCGAGGTGTACAGCGAGGTGCAGAGGGAGGCAGTGCGGACCCTGCCCGAGAGGAACACAAGGATGGTAGATGAACAGAAGCTACTGGAGGAGAGACTGCAACGGCTGGAACAGGAGATCAGTCACAGCCAAGCCCCCTCAAACCTGAGGTCATCTGCAGGTAGAGAGGAAGAACCACTGGAGATACACAGAGGAGAAGGAGACAGAGAATCAATAGAGTGAAAGAAGGCGGAACAGGGAAAAAGGATAAAGGGAATAATTAAGACGTAGAGGGACTGAAGCAGTGAGATATATGTGTGTGCAGGGAACTGAAGGTACGGCTGTGAATAGATATCTGGCTCCTGATCCTTTGGCTCCATAGCACCTCCTCAGCATGATGAGAAGAAGAGGGTGAGGGAGTAATGAAAAAGAAACATTAAAAGGGGAAAAAAATGTTAAAAGTAGCAGTTTAAATAGGTTGCAAGTCACCTTTGTGGTTAGAGACTGTGACCTCCGGGTGGGCTGACCGAAGCAGCATGGAAAAGTACTGGAGTTGTCCTGCCATTCTCTACTAGTGAAGCATTGATTATGTACTCTTTATTATACCCCAAGAGTCAAACCCATGTAGAAGAAAGACCTCACTGTGCCATCCTGCCATACTATATTTGTCTTTAGTTTAGCTTTCACCAGTCCTCTCTGTTCCTTCCTCCTAAAACTATAAGAGTATATAACAAGTATGGCAATTTTTATTTTATGAATGAGTTTACTGCATTCTATTTAACTATCATGATATTCTGAATAAGAGCATTATTTAATGTCTCTAAAACATTGATAACCTGATGTGTGCCGTGCTTAACAGGCTGCCAGGCAGAGCTAAAGAATTTGAGGCAACATGCCCAGGAGCTGGTGGATGAAAATGACGCCCTCAAATTGACAGTTCACCGTCTGAATGTGGAGCTGAGTCGATACCAAACCCGCTTCAGACCATTATCCAAACAGGAGGTATGACAAGCTACAAGATAACACCTCTGCTTTTTGACTAGGATCTCATCTTGTATAGTGCTTAACTTCTTATGTTTGACTTTTTCCCAGTGTTTTTGGTGCAGAATATTATAAGCATTTTTGTGGAAACACATTCATGAATCTCAACTTGCAACAAATTGGATTGGTACATTTTTTGGTCCATTTGTATTTGGACCCCTCCACTTTTTACCAACATTATATTAAAACACTCCCAGTCCAAGTGAAATAGTCACCAGCCCATCACATATAAAGGCGAAAGAAAGGATTTGACAAACTAAATATTTAAGGTGATTGTGAAATGGCATATTTTTTTTAAATTAACCTATGTCACTTGAAAATGAGCCCACCTTAAAGTGCAGCAAGTATCTGTCAGTCCTCAACAGTCTCTACTAGTTTCGCTGCTGGTTTACTTTAATGTTAGACTCGCACACTACAGACTCAATAGGAAAACTCCTAATGTTAGACTCTGCTTTCATATCAGAGATCAGATGAGGTGGAGGTGCCTGTGAAAGACGGGGAGGGCGAGGCAGGGAGAAGTTACGGGGTGGTTATAGTGTTATGTGCTGTTACAGAGTAAGGAGATTTTGGTTTATTGATAATGAAAGAAAGAAGTGAACATGGTTTAGCAGTACTGACAGTTTGGGACTTACATTGCATAAATGTTTGCCGTGTTCGTAGCTGCAAATAATACATTATCAGTAGTGCCACAATAATGTACTGTTTGCCTGTGTATGTACCTGTTGGTCCTAGTCTTCAAATATATCCATAAATGAATAATTCAGCTTGTGAAGTGCAGTAAAGTTATTGATTTAACAACTTCTTGAAACATATTTTTGCCCTGGGTAAGGGAGTTGCACCAGGAACCTTTCTCTTTTTAATCAGTCTTCTTACTCCAGCTGAAGTTGCCAGAATGAAATGAAAACTGTTGTACGTGTTACAGAGTACTCTCCTCCTCTGCTCAGTTCAGCAACATTTTAGTCTGTTTTATTCTATTCTGTAATCCTTTTATCACCTCTTCTCTCAGTCTAATTTAATCAGCTTTTATACAGAATCTATTACCACTACATCGCTTTATTTTCCCAGCTTTAGCACTGAAAAAAAACAAAAAACATTTCTTTGTAACCAAGCCTTTAAGCAAGACATCTGCCTTTCATCCAGGACCCCGTTGAGCGAAACATGGTTTTCTTTTTGTCTGTCCTTCCATCTGATTTGTTGCACTAAAGGAGTTTCTTGTTCCTGACTGTGACTGTCTGCCCATTCTGGGTTTACTCTGCAGAAGAAAGCTGGCCTGTGGTTTTAATCATGGCTACCTCCTGCTGTGTTTTCACACCAAGAGATCTCCTGCCCTCATCTATGAGTTTGCTGCCTCCGTAGCTGCTAGCCCTCATTACTGACAGCTGAAGTGTTGCTTGTGAAAGGAAGAGATACAGGACAAGATGAGGGACTAGTTTTATAGTAGAATAATGCAAGAATGTGAAATAGGGTAACTCTCAAGCGGTTTAATTAATGATGATAAAATTGACCTTTGTCTGCTTCCATATATCACATTAAAACATAAAACATTAAAGATCCAGTGTGTAGGATTAAGTGGCATCTAGCAGTGTAGTTGCAGATTCCAACTCTCTTGCTTTATCCTTCCCTTCCAAGTGCGAAGCAGAAACAGTGGTGGCCATGAAACGTGTAAAGAACATAAACGCCCCTATCTAGGGTCAGTGTGTTGTTTGTCCCTTCTGGGCTAATATAGAAACATGGCAGTTTAACATGGTGGCCTCCATGAAAGGCGTTCCATGGCCTCTGTAGATATAAAAGGCTCATTCTAAGGTAACTAAAACTTGGCGATTCTTATTTTCAGATGATTATAGACTAATGAAAACATAGTGTGAATATTACATTACATTTCTGCCAATAGAGCCTCCTAAATGTCACACACAGGACCTGAACACACAAACAAATCACAGCAGTTTCATGTCCTGGATCCATAATGGTGGAACTAGCTCCCCATTGACGAAAGGACAGCAGAAACACATCTTCCGTTGCAGACTGAAAACTTGTTTGTTCAGACTGCATCTTGGCCCATTAAAACAACTCATTGTTTCTAAATGTAGCACTTAAAGCAGTTCAGCATGTTTAATGAAGTGGGTATTTAATTATGGGGGTTTCAACCTCATGTTTGAATGCACTTATTGTAAGTCACTTTGGATAAAAGTGTCAAATAAATGAATGCAATGTAAAAACATTGACATTTGTTTTCCCATTGTTCTGTTGTTATAAAACTAATCTTTTCAAGCAACATCTTCTTAAGTAACCAAAATTGTTTTAGATCTGGTGTAGTCATACTCGACTCTATTCCTATTTTTATGTTAACTTTGAATCAAGGACCCCATTTAAAGCTGCCATATTAACCATGGTTATGGCATTATGACTGACTTCATGTTCTTTCTCTTTCTTATTGTGTCTCATCCAGAGCTCCAGAATCAGCGGCTTGCCAAAGACAGGGTCTCCTCCTCCCTGGCTGGTCAGTATCCATTTAAACAGTAGCTGTGCATGGCTGGTTAATAGTCACATTTAGCTAATCAGTCTGTTTCATGTGGCTGTCTAGTTTAATAGGCAAATCATTTTTAATACAGCTGAATGATAATTTAAGATAGTGCCCATTAAATTGAAACAGTTGGTCAGCAGTTTAATGTGGCTGGTCTTTTCCATCTCTGCCTCATGAAATGGATTTAACATGTGAAATTATATATGCTCACTCTGCTGACACATAACTGGTCTGATAGTTTGGAAGCTTAGGTCCAAAATTGAGGAAAAAGGAAGAGAGTGTGATTTATCTCTCAAATTTCCAAATCAGAAGGCAAGGTTGTTCACCTTCTGTCCACAATGACTGGAAACCTGCTGAATAGATCAAGAAGATGAAGCCCATTTGCACCTGGTATGACTCATATACCAACCACTGTGAATAATGGGCTTTTGCTCTGAATAAGGCCTAAATGTAGAACAATAGAACCCTAGTGATATAATGTTGAGGTACAGTGGAGCTCTTTTGGTGTCAGTCAGAGCTACAGTGGAAATCCAGTGATTGATATTTTGAGATACAGTACATGAGAATAGATGTTTTTATCTTGTAGCTTATTTAAGCCTTTTCTCTTCTTCTGTTCTTTTTTTTTTTGTAGCTTGACATGAAGTATTTATCTCCTTTACTTCTGGCCTATGAAGACAGGATGAACGAGAAAGATGAACTTCTGCAAACCACTGAGGTAAAGTGTGTGTGTTTTCTTATCCGCTTAATAATCTGCAAGCTCATCATTCAGCAGAATGTTACATGGGCTATTTTATCAGAGACATATGCAGCTGCTAATGCTGCTGCCTTTGATTTATGCAATGCATGCGGAAAACCTGCACTTGGTGGCGAACAGTACTGGTCACAGTACTTTAGTCAAAGTGCCAGTATGCTTCTGAGAGCTGTTTTAAATGATTTTTATATATAGCGAGAGCCTGGGAGGTGAGGTTAACATGCAGGCATACAGGTGGTTGCAGAAAAACCCAAAGCATGTATATTTTCTTCTAATGGTAATGATTTTGCTGTTTAAGATTCTGAAAATGATTTACATTTGAATGTAAAATAGCTCAAAGTGTGTTGTGTATGTCACCTGTGGATTAAAGCTCTTGTGCAGACAGCAAAGTACTGCTTTGCTTTTAGAGAGAGACAAGCTATTATTGTACATGATGAGGTGAGACTGAAATTACATTTTTCTTTTTCTACAAGCCCCAACTATCATGTTTTGATAATAATAAAAAATAAAATAAATAATAATAACTGCTAATAGTTAAATATATTAGATGGAGAATAGAATAGAGACATTTACTTTTTTTACCCCCCCCTCCCTTTCTGTCTTGTGCTGATGTCAGACAATTGGCAGTTTAGGTTACCTGGCTTTACTGAGCCGAACATTGGTGATCCCAGAAAATGGATAGTTTATTTTGGTTTTCCAATCCAGCTACAAGCAAGTTCTTGTAAAAGAGTTGTTAAGTATTAAATGTTTAATATTAATAATATTAAACATTTAAAATGTGATACCTGCAGGAAAATCCAGTTATACTGCTGTCAAAAACGTTCTTTCTTTTTTCCTTTTAAAAAAAAAAGAAAGAGGGGTGATAGTTTGCTGTCTTCAGTTTAAATGTCTTAAATTGCGTCCTTGAAATCAGTGGTTCTTGTGTGTCTTTGTCTGCTTTCCGCAGGAGGAGGTGAAGAGGTTGCGTGTTCATGTGGAGGAGGTGATCAAAGAAAATGAGAGACTCCATGATGAAATTGCAAAGATCGGAGGGGTCAGCCAAAAGGACTGGTGAGAAAAAATTAGCTCATTGTGTGTGTGTTGGTTAAGCACTGTTAGCACTCATTCCCCTGATGTAGAGAAAATGAAATAGCACTTTTACTCTCTTCTGCTTCACTGCTTGCCTGTCTCTGGGTCTGTTGCTAAAGCGTTAAATAATGAAATAAAAGTGGTAAAACCTCATCTCATGTGTTCATATATTTTCCCCATTACTACTCTTGCGTACATGATCACTATCAAACTTACAGTGTCTGCTCATGGTAAGCAGCCCTGACAAGTTCTACGTGAAGCAGTCTGTGACATTTCAACCTGTTTTAAATTTTCAGTCTCAACGGAAGAACAATGTGAAGATTGAGTAAGACATTAGTCACTTGCATACATTTACATTTAGAGCAGTTAGGTGTTCTTATCAAGCTCAACTTTGTGAGCAGAACAATGAATACTGAACAATAACTTACTGCTCAGTATTCATGGGCAGGCAGGGGCTACAGGTTGTAAACCCTGGAACAGATTTGAAATTAAATGTCTTACTGTAGAGTATAATATATAGCATACATAATGTATCTTATTTTTGCTAAGTGACTAAGACTAAGTGTTAAGAGCTGTTTACAATACATCCGTTTGCATATAAACCAAGTAATCAATAAGTGACTCAACACCTGCACACATTTCATCATCTCTGTCTCGATGCTGCTTCTACGGATTTGTGAGGCTTAATGGAAATTTAGTGTTTTCCAAGTGTGTGGCTATTTGCTTTGTGTCATGCTACTGCTTTGCCTGATAGGAGACACAACACGTCTCCTACTCAGAAAGGTCACCGAAAAGTCCATTCTCAGTGTATATGCACTGTTTTAGGTATTACCAACAAATTCACAGTGTTGGGCTAGTTACTCAAACATTTTTTACTGATTTTTTACACTCTTTTCAAAAGTAATATTATTACTTTACTTATTACTCCCTGCCAACAGTAATTAGTTAGTAATACAACAGTATTTGTTGTATTAATTTTCTGCTACTCCCCAGAAAATTGGTAATTGTGTCCTTTCTCCACAAGATTCAGATTTACGATTAAAATCCAGTTTGTAATACCGTAATCCCAAAGTAATGGGAATATTTCCAGCCTCTGAACACAAGTGTTTCCATCTTTCAAACTAATTTATAAAAATGAATCCAAGGATGTGATTGGGTTGTTGGATTTCAAATTAGTAGGGAGTGACAACGAAAGTAAGGCTGTAACTAATTATTTTTTAGGAGGTCTGTAGTGTATTATTACTGAAAGTATTAGTTAATTACAGCTATCATTACTGGGGAAGTAATCTTATTAAATATTATTAGTAATTAGTTACTGCCCAACACCGCTTATTCAGTACCAATTGAAATAAGGCAAGCTGGTAGTTTTATGTGTTTTGTCTGATGAATGCCTTATTCATGTTGATATTTTATATAGCAGCTTTGTGTTCTGATTATATACTAATTTAGACATATTTTCTCTTTCTCTCTCTCTGTCTTTCTCTCTATAGTCATCAACTACAACAGCAGGCCTTACTGGTTTTGCAGGAGAACCAGGTTCTGATTGATCAGCTCGAGGCTCAGCATGTTAAGGCCAAGGCCAGCCACAGCAGACACCATTCTGAAGGTACAGTGAAAGACTAAGAGCCCTATTTTAATCACACAAATAGAAAACTCAGAGTGCATCTCTGAGCACACTACTGGTGTGGGTGTCCTCAAGCCACCCTGTATGTTTGCGGCAGACATGTGTAAACAAGACTGGTTGGGTGAATGTAGAATGGAGTGTGTGGTGATTAATAAATACACTCTCAGCTCATCGTCTCATCGCTCTGAAACAGCAGAGCCAAACATGCATGACGCTCAATAAATTAAGAATTGGCTTCTCCAGGAAATCATGCTGTCTGGAAGGCGCACAAAGTGAACACCCAGCTCCACATATCTGCAGCCAAAAATGTTTACAATGATGATAGGAGCAAGTAATAAAGCATAGTTTGGTGAAGCAGTTTATATGATCGCATCAATCCGATGCTATTCCATTTTTAATTTACTGTATTTCACTTTTAAGTAGTTGCTCCATAGGGTGTGATTCACAAAATTAGTGAGTAATCCTCCTTCAGATGGTTGCAGGGATTTAATATTTGAACAGTGGACAACATATACTGAAAGAAACAGAAAGAAAGAAACACTTGCATTCATTTATTGATCAATTTATCAATTTAGTTAGTATTTATAGAAGTTCCTGCTTTATCCACATTAAATGTTATTTTTTTCATGCCGATTTAAATGCATCTACTGTTTGGGGAGTGGTTTTGTATGTGTTTTAAGCATTATTGTGTATTTAGTTCTTAGTTCCTGCTCCTGTTGACAAAATCACCAAAATGGCAGCTGCGTGACAGACATGGTTGTTCTTCCACCTGTGCACAGTGCACTCTGCACCAAAATACCACACAAATGAGCAAAGCCCTATCAAATGGTGGAGGCACAGAAATGTGATAAGATAAATTCTTCATAAGAAATTGTAGGGGGAGGTATAAGGCAACCATTTGTGGTTAAAATTGAAGAGGACTTTAAATCCAAACTAAAAGAACTTTTCACTGTAGCCCTGCATCGTTTTCTCTGCTTTCATTTAGATTATTTTACATTTTAATTCCACACCTCTCTCCCCCCTTTCCTCCCTCTCTCTGTAGTTTCCAAGGTATCTAAGCAACTGATGTTGTTAGAGGCTGAAAAGCAGCGTTTGCAAGATGACCTGGAAGAAACCAGGAGAGAGGTGCAGAAAAATGTGAGGGAGGTCCAGGTTCTGCAGGCCCAGCTGAAGGATGCCATAACGTGGGACGAACACTGCGACCTTGTTGGGAAACTCAGACGGTACCATTACAATATCTTGTTTTATCATAGTGTATTTCTTTCTCTTAAAGATGAATGAATCCATATTAAAAGCATTTCTGCTCCTGCGCTGGGACACAAGAAAGAGGAGAACTGCACACTGAACAGTTTATATTAGTGATACTCCATCTTGCTTGCTGTATGTCAGGAAAAGGTGCGCAGTTCTCACTCCATGTTTTCATGCAATAATGCTAAATGCTAGGGCTCCCCATCTTCTTCTTTCCAACAGATTAGCTACCTCAGTTCAGTTTTAGCTCAGTTTATTATTAATTCAGCTTACAATTGATTTGGAGCAGCTAAAACCAGAACAAGTGTACCTGCACCTGAAGCATTGCATTTTTAATTGCAATAGAAAAGGGCACTGGGATGTTACGAATAAATTGATGTGGTAGAGCAGAATCAAAACTGTAATTTCTTTACTTATATTTGATGGAGGTGGGAAAGAAAGCCAGTGGGATTTAACAGAAAACTCAGGTTTCCACAAGTTAATCAAAATAAGTATTCTGCAGGATCATTAAAAGGTGGACAAATCTCTGAGTTGGTCGACGACAGATAATAATGCTGGATAACTCTTGTTACGCTTTACCAGCAATACAGATAGTTGGTGTTTTAATGGGCTGCTACACACCTGTTCTGGGCTTCAGGTGCACATTGGGCAGCAGAGAGTAGGTAGAGTGACATCGGACGAGATTTGCTTGTCAGATTGTCAGCTGCACGGAGGACATAGGCCGCTCTCGCGCTCGCGCTGATTGCTTCGCATATACGAGATGGAGGCTGAGCTGGAGCTCAACAAACGAGCCAACAGGTACTAAATATACTACTTTCTTTGTTTGGTATCATCTTACACATAAAGCCTATGACATGGCAGTGTTTGACACTGTTGGGTCCAGTAATTTATACACAATAAACACTCACAACTCGCAAACACAACTCCTTAGAGACTACAGTTATATCCTGTCGTCCTTCAAAACATACAGCAATGAACCCTTTATTCAACAAAGCAATTCTAGATCCCACTGTACTCAATAACTCCCAAAAGTCAATGACTACAGTGTTAAATCGACATAGTCTTCTTAGATTGATATGTGGCTGACCACTGAAACGTATTTTTTGTAATTTTGTTATGACGTAAAATGCAGAAGAATGTGATTATTTGAAGCCCCTTTGCACCCATTGTCCACCCACACAGGTGTTGCCACTTCTTCTGCTTGTTCAGGGCTCTTCTCAGGAGTGTGTGGGCGTGTGCCAACTGTGTTTGATTGACATCTCCCTCAATCCGGTTGTTAGTTGTTGACAGAGCAGCTTACACCTTAATTATTCTTGTTTGTACATGAAAGTTTAGTGCCCCCACATAATTCTACATTCTAATAAGACTTCAACCTAGTCAGAGGTGCAATCAGGCGGATAAAAAAAATACCTGTTTGGGTGTGCAGGGCCTTGGATGGTTATATATGTCTGGCTGTTAATTAGTTGTCTGACCTAGAAAATTGTATTTAATTAAAAGAAAGATTAAGTCCTCCTTAAATCAAATCACCAACCACTGAATTAAATACCTTTTAAGCCACTGATTAGCACCCCCAGTTTATCCTGAAGTGAGATTTAGAAGTTCAGTAGGGTGACAGCTAGAGCCATGCCCAGAACCACGTTTTTTGAAGATGTTGGTCATCACCTCTCCAGAGTTTTATTCCATATTTAAAATGTTCTCACTCCACCCAAAAAGGATCAATTCAGTCCTAGTCCCGGTGGGTTATTTAATACACTGATGACAAACAAGCTGAAACAGACAGAGTGGCTTACGCATCTTATCATAGTTCAGATAAGGTTGCTTTCCCACAGTTTATTTTCATCAGGGATTACAGCTGTTCTGGAAACTTCCTCGGCTCCCTGTGGACCTGAACTGAGATTAATGTGGACTTTCTCATTTTGAAGTGTGAAGATTGTCAGAAGGTGTTTGATTAACCAACGGTGTTTTCACTCTGCTCGCATCAAGATGGCAGGGTCTCAAGAAACCATCCAGTTAACTCTAGTCTAGTCTAGTCTCTCTGGTATTCCCTGTTTTCAACTATTCTGTCTGCACTGTTCCTTTCCATTAACCACTGATACATTTTCCTCCCCTACATTCTTCCTAAATCTCTTCCCTTCTTCACTCCATTTGCCCTCATGTTTTTTGCCATTTCTCCCCATCTTCTTTCTTCCTTACTCTTTTTAATTCTGTTTTTGTCTCTCCATCATCCAGGAAGACTGAGAGGAGGATGAGTGTATTGATGCGACAGAAGGAAGAGTGTGTGTTGAAAGAGGAAAAGACTCGGCATTACATGGGAGCTGTGATTTCTGTGGCGGAGCACGTTTCCCGGGAGAGAGACCAACTATTACAGATGGTACTGCTAATGCTACTGACATGGTACACATGATACACATAATACTACTGACATCCTAGAGTCCACCTATGTACTTACAGGTACAAATTCACTTCTTCCACTGAAGGGAAACAAGGTATTACACACTGTACT